CAGCCTATTGGTGTGTGGCACTCTTGAGTTGACTGTTAGCTCCTGCAGAGCTTTCAACTCCAGGTTAGATGGAAGGCCCTTACGTGCCCAGACATAAGGTGATGTTCGCTGATGGCTCCTGAGAAGGCTGTGGCTTCCTGCTGTAGAATGGGCTGCCTTGAATCGTGGCAGCTTTCTTGTCTCCGTGCAAGGCTGTAATTCCTGCTGCCCACTTCATTCTTGCAGGAGTCTGAAATACAGTTGCCTGCTTAAAAAGTGGTAGAATAGCACCATTTGTTGTGGCGTGGTGCAGTGTCCTGAACCAGTTGGGTCAACACTTAGGGTGTAACATAAAACGTGTGCACTGTCTATGGTAGCAGTGAGGTGATTGCAGACTAGTAAGAACTTATCCTACTCTCATTAAGCCTTGTGGCTAAACATAATTAGACTTCAACTGGAAGAGTGGGGTTTTCTTGATAGAGATAGAGGTTTTTGGTTTTGGGTTTTTTTTTAATGAAAAAAACCACTGAAGAAGCAAGAGCCAAGGGTCACCCCATGCACATGTCCATGGAAGCAGCTTCAATACAAGTATACAAATGAGAAGGGTGACGGCGGGGGGGTGTGTGTGTAACTGCAAAAGCAAAATTAATCAAGCTTGAATGTTGATTTATTAGCGTCAAACTATTAGTTGGAGCATGGAAAGGGGAAAACATGTAAAACAGTAAAATCAGTCATTAGGTAAATACCAGCATAGGATCAGTGATTTTCAGAGCGATTTGTTAGTGTACAGCAAATGAGGATTATGGTCTCATGTTCAAATTTTTCTCATGTAAAGATCTTTTTTTCCATGTCACCAGAAGTATGGAAAAGGCATAAGTGGAAAATTATTGGCCTTTGCACAACAGAAGGCACTGAAATTTTTGTATGATGATTTTTTCTACAAAGTTATAAATTAGTATTTGGGTTACTAGTTCAGTAGTATAGTGTAAAATAAGTGATCTGTGCTGCTGTAAAATGCCTGTGTCTCAAAGTTCCTAAAAGACAGTCTACATACCTACTTTAAGGAAAAGTAAACAAAGACTGAGAAAGAAAATAAATTAACTTGGCTAACAGTCAGAGCCTTGTTAAGATAAGTGGCAGGAAAGCAGACACAAAATTGGAGGGAGAAGAAAGTAAAGAATATAATTAAAATGTTATTTTCTCCTCTTTCCAGTTACCTTTTGTCTTTTGTTATTCATATACGCTTGCTGAACTTGCATGTAAATGATTGATTGACTCTGTGAACTCATTGTAATAAATTATGTTTGATGTGCTATCTTGAAAAAAATCTTTTGAAATTCTGTCTCTTTTCTTTGTCTGCTCACCTTGTGGCATTTAATATCTTGTTTCCCATCTGTCTGATTCCATCGTAAGCTGAGCATAACTTTTCAGACCTTAATGCAGCTCTATTTTTGTTCTGATTTAAGTAAGTATGTAACGCAAATATGTGATTTGGCTGTCAACAGTAATATCGGAAAGGAATGTTGAAGTGCGTGATCCCTTTATTGATGTGAAAAAAAGAAACACTTATCTGTAGATATTTGATGATATGTATTTACAGTGTATAGATCTGTGTCTGCAAGCAAATGAATACAGAGATGTCTGTCTGTATCACAGTATTACATCTGCTTTAATGTTACAAGTCCAAAGGTTACTTTTAAGGATTAGTTTTTAATTAAAAGAGAAAAGAAATGGGTCTATAAGGTTTCAGGACAGCAGTTTTAAATATAGTTTTAAAAATACTTAACTGAATATGTAATACAGATATACCCAAACTTCATTTTGAGAGATTGATTGTACTATAGATATTCCTACTGCAAGAAGTGTGTCTAGCAGTGAGGTCCTAACTGAGTCTTGAATTACAGGGGAATTTGGAGAAATAGACTTATTGTGTTAATAACATTTTTTTTTCTAGGGGATATAATGTCTGTAGAAATATTCAGTTGGGATATCTTTTTTTATGCTTATATTTCAGCAGTTTGCTTAACAACCGTAAGGTATAGGTAGATAAATTCTTTGTGTTCTTTATTAAGGACCTCAAATGTATATGCTGAAAGGCTTTTTTTCGATAGTGTCTTTTTAGTGAGAGTAAATCTTTGGAGAGACCGGAGAGAATGAACTGAGCCAGGAAGAGAGGAAAGGGAAAGACACAGTAGTCCTGGGACTGTCTATAATGGTTTCATGGGACAGTAGAAACAGAATGGGCTTTTAAGTCTGCTGAATTCATCAGAGAGTTATTATGAACAGGGCGAAAGGCCACAGAGTTCACTCAACTAAGTGTGTTTAGACATAAAACACAAAGCACTGAAATATTTGCTTTTATGTAGTTAATACATTTATTTGTATGATGATGATGATACTACTACTTCTACTACTACTAATTCTTTTTGGCTGGCTCACCTGACTATGAACAAGATACCAACTTGGAGAAAGAAGTCAAAGGGAAACAAAAGCCTTTTTCCTTCATCATTTATTGAAAAAACAATAAGTAAACCAGTTTCAGCAGGATACATAGGCATATGGATTCAAGCAAGTGATCAGTACATTGACTGAAATAGAATTATTCTTCAGACTAAGTATCACATTGAACTGAGGCGTTGATATAGTCTAAGCAACTTTTAGTTCCAAAATTGCTGTCTTTACTAAGCCTCTGACGTCCCCGGCATTTGCTGTCTGTTGCTACTGAAACAAGTTTTTGAGCAGAAGCTTTAATGGAGCAATTCCAACATCTAGTGAGTATTACATTTTAATTCTTTTTTTTTTTTCATATTTTAATGTGAACAAGTGCTTTGGAGAAATCTAGATGTATGTGTTTTCCACCATTGAAAGAATTATATTCATCTCATTGAGAAAGCTGAGGCAATTTGCAACACTGTGTTAAAAAGATTTTTTTTTTTTTTTAGGGATAGTTTTCTTGTGAAACTTCTTGTGAAGAATTGTGTTTATGAAACTCATAGCTCTATTTCTACAGCATAGGATACAAACAAATAAATGGAGTGAAATTTTGGCTTCATTATATTCAGTATCAATATTTTAGGATTTCTGTTTCACTAGGTTTTAATTCGCTATGTTCTTCCCAGAGTTAAGTTTGGTTTCCTTTCAGAAGTGTGAAAAGTTAAATGCATGTATCACAGAGGGCATTCTTGTGTTTTGAAAAATAAAAGCCTATTGTAGTGGATGCATCTCACCTGTCAGTGAAATTTTTGTGGAATACAGTGGCTGTGTAGTGTTGCCCACAAATACAGAAGAATATCTAACAATTAATATTTCATCATCATTGCATAGCCATTTGCTGTGGTAGAAAAAATATCACTATGGGGTGACCCCAAATTGAAAAATGACAGGAACGATGGGTCTAGGCTATATGTTATTACTAAATGACACACTTTTGTGACTCATTAAACTCTCTCTGTAATAACTGTGTGTTTCATTCTGTGTTGCTGAGGAAAGTTGCAAACCGGAAAAACAAGTCCTTTCTATGTACTCCCAGATGCATTTCCTTAATTGCTGAGATTTTCCTGGGGACTGAACAATAGACTAGACATTGTTCAACATTTTAGCTGAATGAAGTGACACTGACACTGGACTATATAATAAGCTGCAGCTGAAATCCATCTACAAAGTGGTTTTGCAACAGTACTCAGGAATAAGGCATTGTATTTGTAGTTGGTATGTATGGGTATAGTTTTTGACAGCAGTTAAATTCTTATTTGCTGTATATTTTCCTGGGTTTTCTGCTGGACTAAATCACTGTATCCATGATTTACAGTTAAATATTTGCTTTGAATAGGGGAGTGATACATTCACATTGCCTTTTCAGCATACATGGAGAAAGGAGAAGAAAATGAGTTGGCATTCTTTTTGTAGAAATTCTGATATAATTCACATATTGGAATATGAATAGTGGACTCTGAATTAAGTACTGCATGATTTGATATAGATTAGACTCATTAGGAGGCACAGAATGGTGTAAACACTTGCATCATTATAGCAAATTTCTTCCATCTAGGGGAGAGATATGAAGAAAATAATATTTTTGGAAAAAAATGGTCACATGGCCTATTGTTTTAGGCAAGCAATTGCACTTGCTGGCACAACTAGTTAACAGTGTAAAACAGATATATTGTGTCTGGTGATCTAGTGATAACTTTGGATGCTAGTTGTCACACATTGCATTCTCTCAAAGAAATAAGAATAAAGAATCTGCCATTGATTATAACAGAACCACCAATTTTCATGCATTACTGCATCATAAATGTTCACTTCTTTTTCCTGAGATATATTTGTGCTTACAAAGTATGTATGTATCCCCTCAAATTATGGTTACTAAATTATCATGCCATATTTTTCACAAAATTAATCTTTTTCCAGTTTTGTCTGTCTGACTAATAACTTGATAAATCTGTCCTTATCTTCTAATGGCAGATGATTTATCAAGGCCTACTACTTAATTAATATTACAGAGCATGTGGGGAGCTGAAGAATTCAGAAGTATTTTCCATGGACATGTAAAATGAGAAGCATAGGAGAAAACAGAAAGATAATCTTGGAATTGAGAAAAAGTCATTGTGATTTAAGTATGGGATTGAGGTTCAGGAAATGGTGAGTTCTATCCCACAGATCCATCATGCTTCCCACTAGACTTTGGACGAGATGCTGATTTTTTTTTCTTTGCTGCAAAATATTTAGGTAATACTATCTTATCTCTTAGGGTAGTTTGATGCTAGATTTGTCTAGGATTACCAGTGTTATAGGACACATTCTTTATTTTTTTTTTTACAAGCACTTCCATGATACAGATGTAGCCTGAATTTTTTCATATTAAAAAAGTGTACATAGTATGTAATATATAAAGGATACTTTTGTGACATAAAATATTTTAACTTATATATCTGAAGCACGTATAAATAGACAGAAGTCTCAGAGGAGTTGTCAATGAAGTTTCAGGTTTCCTGAATACTTTACTTTTTCTCCATTTCCAGGTAGCATGTCTCACTCATGTAGCAGCTAATTACCTTAATTGCAAAATTGAAGCAAAACGCTGGGGTACTGCTCATGGGAGTATTGTTCCATATCAGGTAAGCAGAAAGCATTAGTTTTTTTTGCTCTTAGATTCATCATTTTGTGTATTATGAGATTGAGAACTGACTTACTTTTCCCATGACTTGCTGTAGTCTGTAATGTGTCTGTGTCTAGGTAGGACAAGGTTCTGTTGTTCATTGTCATTTCTGCATTTTGCATATTTCTTCATCAGCCGTAGACTAGTAACAGAATACTGAAATAGATCAAAGGTGTTTGCTGAAATTGGGTGACTTTAAAGCTAGCATGATGACTTGATTGGTTTTCACTGGACAGAGAAACCTTTTTTTTTTTTTAAGGGTTACCCGACTTCCAGTTATAAACTGAAAACTTTTGCCTCTGATATTTTGGTATTTTTATCTTGTGAGTCTACAAGAACAATCTGAATGACCATGAAGATCTGGGAGTTCTACATATTTGTCATTTTCTATTGATTTTACTACAAATCACTGTGGCTCAGTGAAGACAACAGATTAGCAAAAGGAATTAACCAGACCTCAGATCCTCCCCAGTGGCATTCATAGTCTGTTACATCTACTGAAGGGTTGAATTCCTTAAAATAACATGACTTTTATCATATAAAGAAGCACAGAAAAAAAAATTACTGCAAGTTTTATCTATCTTCTGGCTAGTATGGGAAACTCTTCCAGTAAACAACAAAAATTTTGTTCTTTTCTAGCTGATTACTTTGTGTTCTTGATGGAAGTCATGCTAACTTATGGAGACTTGGACATATATTTAATTTTAAAAAGTCTATTCTTTATTTCATAGGTTTTGGCACTTCTGATCAAATAGTCATGTTTGCAACTAGCTAGGCAGAACCTGGATTTCTTCATTTCTGGCTGGAGTCCTTTAAATCCTGAGACCGACAGTTTCCAGCATTTTTCTGGGAGAACTGCACCTAAACACCACTCAGTTTCTCTACCATCTCTTTTCTCTTTAGAGAGTGAGGGAAGCTTGATGTGTTGTCTTCTTCCCAGTGGTGAAGATGGTGGTGATCATAACATTAAAAGATTTGCTGCTTGTGGCCATAGAAGCAAAAATCTTCCATCATTACACAGAACACTATGACTGGGTAGTGTCACAGCCAGGCCTCCTCAGGTCTAAAACCAAAATAAGTTGTTTCTGTAAGAGCTACATCTACTTAAGCTAGGAGACTTTTTCCAGTACATACCACTGCATAGTCAACTGTTGTCTTATGAATTAGCTAGAACAGATTGCACGTTATCTCAGACTGATGGGGAGTTGTTGTGGCTCTTTCTGCAAGGATGAGTTTGGTCCTGCAGTATTCTTGTCTCAGGTGTAGTGCAGCACAGCTATGGCTGTGCTACTGTCTGGTTGGCACGGTATAGCAGTATGGCCATATTTTCTAGAACCAGCTCTGCATGACTCAGTGTAACCAGGCATCCACTATACAAGTAGTTACATTCTGCTGTATTTCTGTGATGTGACCTTTGGTGCAACCCTTTTTGAACTTTGTCATATTGAAAGTATAAACCAGATCTGAAGTGTCTGAGTTTGTATATGCAAAACCAAAAACCTGACTAAACAAAACATTTTATCTTCTCCATATTGCATTTGGCTGAATAACTGAAATTTGCATTCTTTTATGTCCCTTTGCCTTTGTTTTTCCACAGTCAAAATGAAAAGAAAAGCATACATTGAGTATCCTTTGTTTCTTTCTTCATAGACAGCTCTCTAGATATACAAAATTCGAGGAGATTGTTTTAGCTATATTCCAGTTTAATCTAGATTAGTCAATATGTAAATAACTTATCTAAACTATGGTTCCTGTGTTTCTATATGCTGTTTCTGTAGTAGATATTAGAAATTTTGCCTCAGTATTATAAACAATTTTAATCTGAATCTTCTTGTTCATAAACCAGTAATTACGGTGGGTTTAGTATGGGTGGAGTTGTTTGAGTGTGTGTGTGTTAATGGCTCATCTGTTAACATTCCATCAGCTAGCGTGGTTGTAATTCTGATTGTAACCATAAGTATATTATGCTTTCTAGAGTTTGTTTTTCGCTTTACTAACATAAGCTATACTTAGACTGCAAAGGTCTTCAGAAACTTGAATTAACCCTCACTGTTGCTATTGTGCTGCTTTTATAGTTGCTTCCATAGCTCATTTGTAATACAGTTTAGAACAGAACTATGAAACCTGACTTTCATCCCTCATCCTAGTTATTGAATATACTGTCTTTTGCTTACTAAACTGTGACTATCACAGTGCTAACTTTTACAAATTATTTTTCTTTTGTTTTAAGATATTTTGTGCAAGTGAACCACAATTTGTTCAAATAATAAAAATCGTATTTCAGAAAATTGAATTTCTATGTATTTCAGAACAAGTATGTGGTAGCAAACTGTTGGTTTTTTTTTTGTCTTCAACTTTATTTTGTTTTCATTTGCTGTATTTTGAGTTTTCACACAGGTAGTAAATTATAACTTTGAAATGATACAGAGCCTCCAATCTGCGAAAAAGCACCAGACTATGTTAAATCATGGAAGATTGGGTAAACATGAGATCTCCTTTTATATATATTAAAAAGGCAAAATCTAAGTAAATCTGTGTCACCTTTCTGTGTGACAGAATTCTGATCAGAGTCATGCTAGAGTACTTAATTTGATAAAATTATGTTGAAAGCATCTTAATTATGTGCATAAATAGTACTTTTTTACTTAAAATTATTACAGTAAGTGTTCTAGCGCTCTGTTTAGCACATTCAGTAGTGTATACTGAATGCTCTTGTAGCTTTTATTTCGTTGAGCTTCAATTGAATAATTTTGTTCAGAATATCTTTGCAAATGGCTCAATTTTTTTTCTATTTACAAGGCCAAATTTAACTTTGAGTACATCTCTAACTTCACTGAATTCCCTGTTGCTTCTTGACTGAAAAACTAGCAGCATTATTTGTCCCTGAATGGGTTCTCTAGGTTGACTTTTCTTTTCCTTGTATTTAAAAACATAAAAATTGAGCATTAATGGGCAGATGGGTTTTCTCTTTCCTGAAACTACCAAGACATGTAGCACCTTTGAAAATCTTTTTCTGGTCTGAGCAACAAGCTATTAATAAAGAGATGTAAAGTTTCATGTGCAAAGACTTTCATAGTCTTTTAAAGATTTTCTCATTTGCTGATAATGTGCTGACTTTGTGGCATGATCATCTGAATGTCTGAGTTCTCAGTTCTGTGTGCTCATCACCAGAACCCAAAGGAAAGGATTTGAACTTTTTTTGAGTGTACAATGTCTTTCAGGGTTCCTGTAAAGGTTTGCCATAGGTTTTCAATGGAGGTGAACTTTGCAAAGTGCCACAAAGATGAAGCATTCTAGATTCTAATCAACCAAAATCAGAAATAGATTTTTGAGTGCTGAACACTTCTTGAGAAATTATCTACTTTGAGTGTATATGTTTTTTAATCAGTGATGTAGTTTGAATAGGTTGGTCCTGTGATATTACATGTAATCAGATCCCAATTTGCTTGGTTTCAAGTGTTAAAATACAAACCTTGAATTCTGGGCTATATCTTAAATTTATTTAGTGCAATTTTTTTAAACAAGTTTTTATAATGAGACACCTTGTTTAGCTACAGCTGCTCTATGATTATCCAGAGGAAATGAGGGGCTTAAAAGCATCTGGTTTATGTAATTTGCTGAAAAGTAATGTTGTATTACTGTCTTTTGTTTGGGGTGATAAGGTCTTCCCTCATTCTTGTGGTTTGAGCAATGTAGCTGTCTTGCCCGTACCACGCGTGAGATCTATACATTCACTTTTTCATCTTCCAATTGGCCCACTTGGAATGGATATTCATTCTCCTGAGAGAATCTATTGTAACCTGCATGTTTACAGGATGTTTCCTGTGGCAGCTTATTACCCTGCCATCAAACATCTGGACAACTGGACAGCATTTTCAGAGGCAAACATTCAGCAAAAGGTATAGGGCTGTTTCCTCTCAGGCCATAAAGATGAAAGTCTCTTTAAAAACTGAGAAACCAAGTTCTTACAGATATCTTCCCCCACAATGAATATGATATTATTTCTGTTCCAGATTCGATCCTAAGACTCACAGGGTCTTCTCAAATATTCTTTGATATATTTTCGGAATACGCAAAGGGCATAACTATTCTGCGCAGAAGTTGAAACCATGACAGGAAAATTATTATTTTAACCAATTATCTTTTCTGTTGTCTGACCTGTGCATTGTCATAAATCATCAGACCCAACATTAATGTTTTTTATATTACAGCATCACTTAAATTCTTTAAGCATCAACTTCTTGTGGTACTAGGCATAAAATTTCCTCCATATGAGGAAAAGGTCTCTGTGTCAAAGGCCTTGCGGTTGAAATGTGTTATGAAAACCAAAGTATAAGCTCACAAGGAAGTGAGAGGTATGAGGTAGTAGGAAGATGAGTATAGTCATAGGTATAAATATCTCTGCATTATTTTTAGCATCTGCATTTCATACTTCTTGCTTGTGGAATTTCATTCTGTCCAGGAGTTTTACAAAGAAAATTCCGCTCGTGTCACTTGTCACAGGAACAGAGAAATGCAATAAATTGTTACTTACCTGATTTACCTGATTTATCTTGCAGAGATGTTTTTTACACAAAGGCACAGTGTGCACCAACTTTTCCTGGAGAATCTCAGAGAACTTTTAACTACTTTTTTTTTTTATTAGAGAGGGCAACAGAATACTGTCAATAATTCAGAAATTGCAAACTGCTTATTCCACACAAGAATGGTGAGGTGTAGTCATTTTCTCTTCTCTCTTTATGTGATTTAATTGGGATAATTCTGCAGTTAATGTGTCTTGGAATCAAAATCAACAAAGGATAGAACTTGGATCGTTTGCAAAGTTTTGTTTTGTGCATGAAACTCTCCTCCTTAAATAAGTCCAAAATGGATGTTATGGAAGAAAATATTTTTGCCCTGTAATGGCTCAGTCTAGGAGAGGATGGAACTTACGCACAGGCAAGAAGTAAAATACAGATT